TTTTTAAGTTTTTACAACAATTTAAAAGATGTTATTATGCTATATAACATTATAGCAGATATTTCATTATAATATGATTTTTTTTTAGCCCGATTACTAAACTAATAGTTCATGATTATGTAGGGTTAGATTACTTGAAATGCAACCAAACCCGTTCACTATTCATAATCTACCCGAAAGTTGGTTTAGAATCAATGTGTGGAGGACTTTAGACATCGCATTTTCTGATATGCCTTGTGTTTTTTTTTCGTCGGGTAAGTAAAAGATTAATATATACATAATCATTATTCACTTTATTTTATATGTTTATTTTATTTATGATTTTTATTATTATATTTTATTTATTATATGTTTTTTTTGAAATAACAATTTAGTGGTGAAAAGGCCGGAATAGCAAGTTCACGAAAAATAAAGCGAAAGATCATTGGAAAAAAGGGGGATGGCTACGTACGAGAGTTTGGATCTAAGCCAACAGAATGGGCCGCGACAGAAGGTGGTGCTCAGTGGAAAAGAAAAAAAGACACCAAAATTATAAAAGAAAGTGGATTGAATTTACCAAAAACTTTGAAAGACATTTTTATCAGTCTTGTAAAATAAATTTTTCCGAAAACGAAATTCGAAAAATTAGTGTTCTCGGATTTGTTTTTTCAGGTTTGTATTGTATTAATGATATTTTTTTTATAAAGATTTATAATTTTAATTTACATCGTTTTTAAAGGTGCGGTATTAGTTAAAACTAGGCTTGACTTTCCACGTGGTTATATGTGCAGATATATAAGGGAAGAACCACTTGAAATATATGCAGATGTGGCACGATTTAATAGAACGTTGGATGTACTAATTGCTATCATCTATGCAAAAGTTAGTTTGTTTTATTTGTTTTATATTATATTATATTATTTTATTTTTTATAAAAATTTGTTTTTTTTTTTTTATTCTATAGCTTGAAATATTAAGATCCATGAAAATTGTTAATAGTGCGATCAAAAATGATGACAATTTAAGCAGATGGAAAAACAAACAAAAGCCCCAAGAAATGTTTATTCCTGACTGCCATTATACACCAAAGAGAACTCGTTAGAGCTATTTAGTAGTTATATTTGTTATTTTGCAAATAATATACTCTATAATTACTGTATATTCATTATAATAAAGTTTTAAATAATCGTAACAATATTGGCATAGCATTTTCATAGTTTGAATTTATCTTTAATGGTATATGTTATGCTGTATATATAAAGTTGTATTAAGTATAATCGCTAGACTTTTATTAGAGATTTAAGTATAGTAACTAACTTCTAATATTTATAAAAACATTATCTAATTATTTAGCCCTTAAGTGAATTGTTTCCAAATCGTACGACGCTAAAGGTTATCTTATTTGCATAGTTGTGAACTTTAGGAAATTATTGACGTCTGAATTAAGCAAAGAAATGGTTATAAAAGGAAATTATGGTTTCGCGGATTTGGTTGCGTTTTATAAAAAACTCTAGTATCCCCATTCTTGATCTCGTGTCTTTCGCGTGTTGTATTGTGCTGTGCTTTCTTGATCTTGATCAGCCGCTTCGTTTCACTTCTCTCTGAACGGATGTCGTATTTATATGAAAAAAACTTTAACCATATAAAATGGAATATCGAGTACTTTTTTCGTGTTACATATTTGTTATTCCAAATAAAAATCGTGCGTTTTGAATTTTAGAAAACAACGTATCGTACAACAATTTTCATCGTTACGTATAATCGTTTTACAAATATTTCTTTGAAAAAATTTATTTATATAATGTTTTAGGATTCTGTGCTGTGCTAACCTCGGGTGTCTAAAATGATTTTAAATTTGGAAAAATTGGCCTGCCAAGATAACCATAATTTTATAATGCTATTAATCGTAACCACTGCGGCT